CTTCGAAGCACGCATTAAAATCCACCCATAAACAAAAAAAAATGTTGTCACACAAGGACAAGGGAACGGCATGGACATATTCTACCACTGTGTGCATCAAACACTGGCTGGCTGTACACGGCAACAGCAAGAGAGAGCCATACACCATGCCTACCCAAAAACAAAGCAACAACTTAGTATTAGCTACTTGTGTTTTTCGTCGCTGCTTGCGTGCTCTTTCGTCAACCATCCACCTGTCAAGGTGGGCCTTGCTGAGTCTGTCTGCCATTGGTCCATTGCGGTGCCGTATCGATGATTGCCAGAGCCACACGATGATGATCGAACGGTGTATGAACCAAGCAACCACATGACTCGAAACCCAGCCAAAATCCAGCGCCGGATGACGTGTCGGCACCCAGCGAGGGCCACGCCAGGGCAAAAGCCATTTTGAGCCGCTAATCCAGCTGGTTTGAAGTATTTAAATAAATGTACCAGTCTACCCACGTGGCAAGCTCTTGTATAATAAAATGGTGATGTACGGACTCCATAAAATTAATGTCCATGAAGCCATAAAATAGGAACGCTTTAATTGTACCAGCCACCAAACAGAAACAAATAGATAAACTTTCCAATAATTTTTATTCCTTGCAAGGCACAGCCGCTTTCCTAGCCCATACTATACCAATTACTAATATTCTACGGAAAGCCTCTAATTACGTGTATGTAATCACATATGGAAATCAGCAACATGATATTTTGCGACAATCATAATTACACATGATCTTCTCTCTAGCATTTTATAAAATATATATATAAACTTTTATTTTGAGAATTACACAGTACAATGCAGACACTCACAACACACACTCACCCTTATGAACGCACGTACGCAAACCCTACCCCTATGAGCATCTTCACACACTCACCTCTATGAACGCACGTACGCAAACCCTACTCCTATTAGCATTTTCGAAAACTGGACCAGCAAATCATGGAGATTGACGAAGTCACCATAGGCGTCTCGCTGTCAATGAGTATGTTGCTTACCACTGAAAGCACAATGTCGTTAAATCCTGGAAAATTCGCTCCCCATGGGAGCGAACCCAGGACATAAGGTGCTACTGAGGCTCTTTTAACCAATAGGCTAGATGCCCTTTCGCAAAATATATTGAAAAACTAATTAACATAAAAATCCTACAAGTAAAAATCCAAAGTTGATGTCAAAATATCAATTTCCAAATGATATAAGCAATGTTTTCTAGTTAAAACATACATTTAAAATGCTGAAAGAATCTATATATTGAAATTAGGGATGAGAAGACTGCTCTGAAACATGTGGAAACTACCTATTTTTGCTTCCATATTTTTTGGAATCAGAATTGGAAATTCTGAAATCCGTCCCTAAATATTTAATACCATTGACTTTTTTAAACTTGTTTGACCGTTCGTCTAATTCAAAAACTTTTGTGAAATATGTAAAACTATGTGTACATAAAATGATGAGGATGTAGGTCCCGATCTTCCGATAGGTATTGATAAACAACGATTTGGGCGAAGTCGCGACACAACTCGATCTGGCTTCTGAACGAACACGCTATTGAGCCCCGCAATTGCAGCACCACGTCTCCTCTGATTATCAACCATGTCGAAACCCGGTTGACCTCGCCGAGAAGGCTAATCCCTGCATGCGAATCAAAGAACACAAGCAAGAATAAGATATATTGCAACACAATTGCATATGAATGATTAAGCACTCGAATTTGGGGTTCCACAAACCGATCTAGCGGCGAAACTGTTCTTGACAGAATTATCTAAGCAAAACCCAACTCTAAACGATGACGGCTACTGAATAAATGTGATTAGGGACGTCCTAGGGTTGCCCTAGGGCGCGCACCCCCTTGGGCTAAGCCCACAACACAATTACAAGGCCCAAAACCCAAATCAGATTCGGACATGGCTTGTTTTGCAAATTCCCGGCAGCTCGGTAGGAATTTTGACGTGGGACCAAAACCATCTAAAAGTAGACTTCATAAGCTTTCCAACAAGTACTTATGGGCCCCGAAATTCCTTCTAGATCATTTCTTGTAGAACTTCATTTCTTGTCTTCTATGGACCAAAAGTGACGTGGTGAGATGAAAGAAGAATTGGAGAAGGTCTTGGTTTGGTACCCAATCAACTTCTTCAATCATCCATGCTTTCCTTAAGCTTGGTCTCTTTTCTTTCGCCCAAGCAAGTACCTCTGCAAACGAAAACACACAAAACTCATTGTGTAGCAACGTTTGTTCAAATATATAACAAGTAAATCTAATGTAGAACATATGCACCTTTGGTTTATTAATACATAAGGTAGTCATGGTTATATCCGAGCTAGTTGTGTCATCATCATAAATAAAGTATATTTAACAATGAATCAAATGACGAATTAATAATTATTTAAATTTTTTAAATAAGACGAATGGTCAAATATGTTTAAAAAAATCAACGGCGTCAAACATTTAGGGATGGAGTATCAAACACAAACACAAAGCAAACATGAATCAAAGCGAACATGGTAATGAATATTTATAGGAATATAAAACCCCATAAACTGAGCTTCAAAATTTTGTCTAAAGCAATAGATAAAAATTCCAAAACTTAGCAACTAACGATACTACGAGACCACTTTATCATAAGGAAATATCACAGATCACAGTTGACTTTGCCAAGTCCAAATTTTCATCTTTTGAGATAGTAAACACTTCCCTTAAAAAAAATCTCAAAGTGAAGAACACCACATCTCATACTGATATTTATAGGGCAGAAGTGCACATCTCAGTATCACATATCACATTTATAAGTTATTAACAATACAACATCTCACGGAGGACAACTGGCATTTATAGAGTAGGAAATGCGCAACACAAACACAGTCATTCACTGACTCACACCACAGACTTAGTTCATTTCCGTTTCCAATAAAAAAAATTGAATTCGTTTCGGTGAAATTTTCTGGAAAGTTTTTGCTTTCCGACAGATAGTGCCCTTCTTGTGTCTCTGTTGTCGAGAAAAAATAAATCCAAATTCGTTTTCGATGATTTGTGAAAATATTCTGATAGACCCTTTTCTTTCTTTTTCGAAAACAGGTCTGGCATCAAAACAACTTTCTGAACCATTTTCAACCAATTTCAAATATACACTTATTGCAATTTTTTATGGGAAAAGCTCAGGTATTGCAAATTTGAGAATTTAAAATGACATGAAAAGCTATCTTTCTGAAAAACATGCATGACGTGGAATAACTAGTTCCCTAATTAATTCCCGCCGTGCATGATTAATTTGGCATGCATGTTACGTGTAATGCTCCTCTCCTTTCAAGCTATTAATTTTTTAAGAGTAAATTGCGTCCGTGGTACACAAACTTGTTAGGTGGGTGCAATTTAGTGTAAAAACTTGAAAAACTCTCGTTTTGGTGCACAAACTTGTATAGGTGCGTGCGGACTATGACTAAATAGAATAGCAAATCTAATTTTGCTGAGTTGGATGATGAGTAGACCGCCAACTAAGCATTCACGTAAGAAGGACAGGTTTGCCTGCTCGTAAGCAATGGCCCTGTTTTATCAGAAAACCCCTTCTATTGTTTGGTATTTCGATCATGTATAATTTTTCAGTGAAACGAATCTGAGAGGTGTTCATAGCGGCGGGGAGCTGGGGAGGTCGAATCCGCGGTGGCTGTAGTGATGGGGGTCGAGCCCGATAGCTACGTCGTGGGGGGAGTCGAGTCCGACGGTGGCTACAATGGGTAGGTCAAGTTTGACGGCAGTGGCTGCAACAGTATTGCCGAGACTGACGATAGTGACAGATGGCGAGGAGGTCAAGTTTAGTGGGAGAGCTTAGAAGTTGATGCTGCGGTAGGCATTTGAGTGGCTTGCTTTAGGCCAACATCGGTTATCTCAGACTCTGACAATTCATATAGCAACTTTGAAGCCTAGCTCCAATGCTTCAGTGCAGACATTGAAGCAGCAAGGAATTAAGCCATTGTGCCGTCAGATTAACAGCATGAACATTAAATCCACTGAAGCAACAAGGATGTAATGCTTAATTGTACACATTGTGACAAAATCTGAACACAATGAAACACGTGAGTGCATATTTTGAACAGAAACTGAGATCCTGAATAAAATTCAGTGAATAGCCTGAATGAAAACTAAATGCATAACTTGACATGAATTTGATTGTGCACTAGTAATGTAGCTCAAAATCGATAACATGGAACCAACTTTATGAATGCATAGTATAAACTACTGTTTCTTTTTCTTGGGAGAGTTTTTCTTCTTGGGTGCTGCACTTCTCTTCCTCAATGTGGCCCTGCCTTGTTTGGTTGATGTGGTTAGTGGTGGTTGAACCCCTTCTCTCCTATTAGTAGCAATGAAAGCAGACTCTAGCACTGCTCCTGGATTCACCCTTTCTTGATGGTTGCTAGCAGCCTGTAAAAGATTATGTACTAATTTTATGATGGTTGCTATTAGCTGACAAAATGCTAGCTTAATGAAGGATTGTTTTTTCTTTGAGAACTTAATGAAGGATTGTCACCTCCTTAATAAAAGCTTCCACCACAGATGAACTCAGATAGTTAGAATTTTGTTGGGGTATGCTAAGCAGGTGCATTTCCTGAAACAAATATATGTTATGTTTAAAATTCCTTGTTAGTGCAGCTAAACATATACACAAGCAAAATGAGCATCAATAGTACCTGAGTGATGACAGGTTCCTAAAACAAATATACAATGAGTTTAAAATTCATAGTTAGTGGAGATAAACAAATACACAAGCAAAATAAGTATAAATATTACCCGAGTGATGACAAGCTCTTCTGAATCAACAATTGATGAAGTCGCCATTTGCTGCATAGGTTGCTTCTGAAGTTTTAAGTCAGCCTTCCTCTGTTTACAACTAGTTTTGTTGTGACCACCATTTTTGCAGTAGCTACAATGCATCTCTACTCCATGCTTTGAAATTTTAGTCCCACCCTCTAGTTCTTGGGGCTATTTTCTCCTAGTTTTCTTTGGCCTCCCCACTTTCTTCTCATATACTGGTGGCTTCACCTCTATACCCTGCATCTTCTCCCAGTGGATACTATCTCTCAGTGGCATTATGTTGTAGCTATAAGCTTGTTCATAGCACCTGGTTGAATAGCAAAATGACACTACATCCTCTGGCTTGATTCTTTCATGTCTTAGACAGAAAATGGCATGGTTACAAGGAATCCCAGTGAGCTGCCACCTCCTGCAATCACATCTCTTTACATTAAGTTCAACAATGTATTGAGATCCTCTGTCGCTAACCTGAAATGCTCCCATCCCAGCAGGCAAAACATAGCATGTATTAGCCATCTCTGTATTTTTCTCGACCTTCCGTTTTATTTTTGGGCAGAGGCCACATGGCCAATTCCTTTCTAGTTCTTTTTGCTTGGTGTACAACCTGTTCATGATCTGATTTCTAATCCTCTCAAGCATAGACAAAATAGGCATCTCCCTGGCATCAAGAATGTACTTGTTAAACACTTCTGAGTTATTGTTAAGAAGGATATCACACTTCGGAAAGTCACTGAAAAAGGCTCGACACCATTGGTTTGGAGGAATTTCTTCAAGGTACTTATAAGCTTCACTACTTAATGCCTTCATCTTTTCCATATTGGCATTCCACTCGGGCACAGTGCTAGATCTTGCAATAGCCCAAAGTTGGTTCTTTAGTGTCTCCCCTTTATGTAACACTTGAAAATTTTGATATAGATGCCTCACACAAAATCTTTGTTCAGCATGAGAAAACTCCCTTCTCACAGCTGGAACAAGCCCCTGGAAACGAATTATAAAGAATTATAGTTAGGAACTAAAATGTAAGTTATGTATATTATGAAAAATCAGACGAAGTTATACCTTCTGCCTATCAGTCATCACTGTCCATGCAGATGTATTCTCAATGCCAAGGTCTTTTTTTAGAGTGTCAAGAAACCAACTCCAGCTTTTCAAGCTCTCAACTTCAACTACTACAATTGCAATGGGAAAAATGCAGTCATTTGGGTCCATACCAACAGCAGTTAGGATATGGCCACCAAATTTTGTTTTAATATGGCATCCATCAAGACAAATGATAGGTCTACACCCAGACAAAAACCCTCTCTTGCAAGCATCGAATGACATATACAAAGTATGGAAGCAACCAAAAAGTAGGTTCAGGTAGAATGAGCTCCTTGGGTTAGAGGTTCTCAATTCTTGTCCATAGTCCCATAATTGGTTGTACTGAGATATTTCATCTCCATATATGGCCCTCATAGCCATCCTTCTAGCTCTACCTAGCTTGTGCCTAGATGGTGTTAAGTGGAGTTCCTTCTGAATTTTCTTAGCAAAGCTCATCAGTGTCATTTTGTCATTATCTCTAAATTCCTCAATGTACCTTTTTGTAAGATACTTAGCTGTGACGGCCTTGATCTCCCACTGTTTAGAGCGGGTGTGCTTCTCTATATATTCCCTTACCACTAAGCATTTGACTCTATTATCCATAGATGCAGACAACATCCATGGACAACCTTCAGCACACTTAGCTTCAATTCTTGTTTTGGTATTCCGTGTCTTCTTAATAGCAACTCGGTTCTTTATAGTATATTGATCTATTGCTTTCCTAAGCTCTACAGCATCTGCAAACATCATGCTAACCTTGAACTCAGGTGTCTCCATGTCTACATCAGCCCTAAAACTCTTAAAACTGAACTTGATTTCTTCTTCTTCTTCTTCTTCTTCAGAAATATCTGGCATCATCAACCTTTCATCTTCAGATGAACCATAGTCTGAACCCTCCTCTTTATTATGTGCTAACTCAATTTGCCCTTCAACACAATTATCAAACAAGTCATCATCCCCATGATCAATCTCATAATCACTATCAACAAAATCTAGATCTTCAGTTCTTGACTCCTCTTCATCATCAATTTTAGCGTCGGTAGCACGTTTATCTACAATCAACTCCCCACCATCACTCTTAGCCCTAATTATTTTACTTGGTTTCACAGCAGTACGCAAAGGATCTGAACCAATAATTGCCACATCATCTAAGTCAATAGCGTCGACTATGTCTTGATGATCTGCATACAAAACAAATGATCGGACCCTAGGTACAAGAGCGACCATACTATTAGTGTCTGCATCACACTTAACCCTCCTCAACCCATCATTTAATTGTTTGCCAGGAAGCAACCAGTAAATTTTGGTGTTATCAGATTTCTCATATCCTAATTCTTCAATGAAATCATCAACCCACAACAGTGACCAAGAATCTGACTCACAATGGTCAAACCAGCTTACTCTACCATCAACATAAGCCCGGTTTACACCATTTCCCATAAAAAAGCCTCCGTGGTGCATCTCAATGCTGAATTCTTCATCTTTGGAATCTACATATATTGTGTACAGATAATTATTCATCTTCAGAATAGTTTACTTTAGGTTCAGATGTTTAAGGGTATATCCAGGAAGAAAGCATAGTTAACAACAGAAGCTAGCAGTACATTAATGATCAAATTGCTCTCCAAAAATACAAATTTGCCATGATCACTTCTATACCATAAATGTCAACAAAAATTATAGCTTTTGTGTACCATGAACTAGCTCTTGGCATAAATTAAAACAACTGATAGTCCTTCTCGTTTGCAATACCTAATAAATCGACAATAAGAGGAAGAAATCTCCATAAAAATTGGAATTGAGAAAGACAATCTCATTTTTGACCATGATAAACTAAAGTACTCACTGTATACAGGAGATCGTGCACCTTCACTTCGCAGCCCTGGCACCATGTTGCCTCAGCGCCGGCGGCAACGTACTGCCACCGCTGCCCTAAACGTGGCCGGCGTGTTTTCTCCCAGCAAAGTCCTACCGCCTGGATCCAATTCGCGGCCTTCCACCTTGATCCAAATATCAATCTCCTGATTTATCTCCTTTTGTTGCTAACTCAATTGGCGGTAGGCTATCGTAAAACTGATCTCTAGCATGGGCATCATCGTGGGCTACAACACAAAAGAAGATTTGGAGGAATCGGAAGATGTATGAGGGGTTATTTGCAAATATGTGTAGCCAACTCACGCCCCCATAACGTGTGTATGCGCCAATGTGGCATCCTAATCACAAGCCAACTCAATAAGATTGGTGATGAAGTCATGTCTTGCCCTTGGTTCGCACGCACTACGCAAGTTTGTGTACCGAAACGAGAGTTTTTCAAGTTTTTACACTAAATTGCACCCACCTTACAAGTTTGTGCACCCACCTTACACTAAATTGCACCCACCTTACACTAAATTATGAGAATTTAAAATGACATGAAAAGCTATCTTTCTGAAAAACATGCATGACGTGGAATAACTAGTTCCCTAATTAATTCCCGCCGTGCATGATTAATTTGGCATGCATGTTACGTGTAATGCTCCTCTCCTTTCAAGCTATTAATTTTTTAATTGAACCATGAAAATACATATTTTAAATTAGAAAAAGAATTACGTATTAATGGTTAGGGGTAAGATGGGGCTCCTTTAAAAGGGGATCATAGCTCATACCGTCTCGGCATTGCTCCACTCCCTCGTCAGGCAACAGCAGCTGGTTCGTAACTGAAGTGAGGCAAGAGTCAACTACTGTCTACTGGTACGATGATTTTGTTCATATAATTTTTTTTAAATAGAGTACAAATCTATACGTCCACAATGTGCATACACTTCTCTCTATTAACACACACAATCACACTCTATCCTTACGAGCAATTTCAAAAATCTATACCGACATATATAAAGATTGACAAAGTAACTAAGACGTCTCGTTAATTCTTATGGACGGATACGCCGCCTACCACTGAAAAAATTAGTCATAAATACGAACACTTATATTAAGTCTAGAACTTAAACTCTAGTAGATTGGTTGCACCACAATAAACGTAACAAGTTGATGCTTTTGTTTATATTTTTGCTTACGAGATGCTGACTTATTGTTAGAGCTAGATATAGAGAAGTATGAGCACTGTGGTGAGCAAGTCGGCGCCGGTAGTCGTCCGACCATCGGAGCCGCCGGTGAAGACTTCCAGCAGCAAGATCGTTCTCTCTCCACTGGAGATGCCTCTTGCCATGGTGCCAATGACAGTGCTGCTTGCGTTCGAGCATCCCATCATCCATCACCATCAGCCCACGGCGGACACCATCAAGATGGCTCTCGCTCAAGCACTCGTCCACTACTATCCTATCGCCGGCCGTCTTTCCTGCAACGATGACGAAGACGGTGGCGGCGATTTCTACATCGACTGCACCAGCGAGCTCGGAGTCATGTTCGTGGCCGCGTCCGCCGACTGCACCATGGAGGAGCTCATGCGTGTCGCCGACAACCAACCTACCGACGACGAGACGGCGGTGGTGCAGCAGCTCGCCTTCAACTGCACGCCCGACGTCGGCGACGACGGCCCTCCTCCTCTGCTGTGGGTGCAGGTGACCACGCTATCCTGTGGAGGCTTCGTCGTCGGGGTGACATGGAGCCATGGCCTGGCTGACGGTGTCGGCATAGCACAGTTCATACAAGCCGTCGGCGAGCTTGCCCGTGGGCTGCCCTCGCCGTCCATCGTCCCGGTCAGGCAAGACGACATCGTCGCAACCCAAGTCGTACCTCCCTTCACCATGGCCCTTCTCCAGTTTCTACCCGGCCTCAAGCCATTAGACCTCACCTTCAACAACGTCACCGTCCCGACAAGCTTGATCAACCACATCCGACGATTCCGAGGACGACGAACCAACGACGATGGTGGGCAGCACTCCACCACCACCATCACGGCGTTCGAGGCAGTCGCCGCCGTGCTTTGGAAGTGCCGTACACGAGCGGTGATGGCGAGTCCAGAGGCTCCCGCCATACTAGTCTTCGTAGTGAACGCACGAAAGTACCTAGCAGGCGTCAACGACGGCTACTACGGGAACTGCAGCATGATGCACATGGCCATGGCGAAGAGCGGCGCGGTGGCGAACGGCGACATCATGGACGTTGTGGAGATCATACGGCGAGCCAAGGAGCGCATACCGGAGCAGTTCGGAGAAGGCAGCGACAGGATGGTACGGGAGCTCAGCGATGGGCAGCAGGTGGATGGATACGAGAGCTTGCTTTACTTGACATCATGGCGAAACATCGGGTTGGAGGAGGTGGATTTCGGCAGCGGGAAGACGGCGAGGGTGATGACTTACCCGCAGAGGATGCTCTTCTCTCTACTGGAGAAAACTACACCCATCTGCTTCATGCTCATGCCCACAAAGGAAGGGGCTAGGGTGATGTCTGGCTGTGTTACGCCCGACCACGTCGACGCCTTCCAACAACAAATACTCAAGCTCAACGCCAATTATACCGCCACCTGATTAATTAGACACGCCAGCTACCTCTATATGTGTCTAGGATCATAAATAAAATAATTTGGTCAAAGGTAGTACTTGTGTTATTGTTATGTACCTTCTTCATGTCATTTACCTTTACAATAAAATTATAAATGTATCGTGTGAGAATGGAAAATTTAATGGCCTCTCCAATCGGTATCCATCAATTGTATATATACTCCCTCCGTTTCAGGTTATAAGACGTTTTCACTTTGGTCAAAGTCAAACTGCTTTAAGTTTTACTAAGTTTGTAGAAAAAAATAGTAACATTTTTAATCCAAGATAAATTTATTATAAAAATATACTTAATTATTGATTTGATTAAACTAATTTAGTATTATAAATATTACTATATTTGACTATAAACTTAGTCAAACTTTAAATAGTTTAACTTTAAACAAAGTCAAAACATCTTATAACCTGAAACAGATGGAGTATAATATTGTAACGAGTCATCTGTAATGGGTCTAAGTGTGCCATTACATACCACATATTTGTAACGGGCGACATTCGGGCCATTAGGGATTAGCACTCATCTTGATAAGCTGTTACAGATGTCAGCCATCTCATGTGTGCCGTTACAGATGTGTGCACCTTATCTGTAATGACTCTATTTTAGGAGCCGTTACATCTGTATCCCTCCTATATAATTGCTCAACATTGGAAGTCGTTGCATATGATTTCTAGTTATAATCAACTCCAACTTACTCAAACTTCTTCTACCCGCCCACTCCCCCTGAATTCTCATTTCCCCTCCCCTCCTTCCCCATATCCGTCACCAGCTTGCAACTCTCTCCTTATCTCTGTTAACGGTCCTCACGTTGGTTGCCCCCTCCTCCCTCCCTCTTTTCCTGTTTACGGCGATTGGCGCAGGTGGCGGTGGGGCCCAGAGCGACAACAGTGGCCGTGGGTGCAGCAGAGGTGAGCGGATCCACCGACGCCACTGCCTTGGGAGCTCCCTCTCCCCATAGCCGGGATGGCATATATATCAACGGCTAAACTCGGCGACGGCGGTGAGCTGGCCTTGGAACCGCCATATCATGCGACAATGGGCGGCAGTGGCGAGCCTCGGCTGACGAAGGGCGTGGGCGTCGGCATGGTGATGGCTAGCGTGAGGGCTGCGATGACGTTGACTACACGGTCACTAGGATCCAACTAAGGTGAGCCACCTTCCTCAAGCTCGTGGCGCCTAGTGGTGGTTTGGATGATGAAGGGATGACACGGCTCACGGTGGTGTGGCAGCGTCGCAGAGAGGAGATGGTAGTCGGGCTGAATGTCAATTCTCTGTGAGGATTCTGGGGGGCAAGGTGATTCTCATGTTCATATTGTAGTGTTGATTCTCTGTGATGAATTCTTGTTCAGGTTCAACAAGTTTTTTGATGAGTTATGTGTTCTAAATGTTTCTAATGATGCTTTGAATTATCTGGTTAATTGGATCTTTTTTTAAAAAAGAAAATGTGCCACAGAGTAGCAACCGTGACATATATTTGTTTACTTAAAATCGTGGGAATGGCTGAGGATTAGGGCGCCACGTCATCGTTTTTTTTTCAGAAAATCCCTTGTTCTTTTCGCTAATAGCATGTACATCCCCGTTAATGTGGCCCGTCGGATCACATGCTAAGGTCGATCTGGCCGTCCACGTGTCCCAGCCTGACTACCCTTCCACCATCGTCAGATCGTTGGATTGGAAACGGATGGTCTGGATTCGCCAGCCCGTACAAACCCTAGCCGCCCGTCCTCTCCTCCCCACGCGCGCCGCCTTGCCCACCACCTCCAATCGTGCCGCAGCCTCTCCGTCCTCCTTCCCTCGCGTGCGTCGTCGCCGCCGCAACTCCCTCCTCCTCCACTCCCTCAACCTACTCGCGGTGCCGCCATTGCCGCCTCACTCCTCCTCCACTCCCTCAACCTACTCGCCGTGCCACCATTGCCGCTCCCTACCAATGAGCCGCCGGATCTCCCAGTGAGGAGGCCGGGGCCGCTGGATCCGGTGACCCCGTTCTCCTCGCCGGCGGATCCGGCGCTCCAGAGAAAGGAACGAGAACCGCCGGTACCGGCGGATCCGGCGTCCTAAAGAGGAATGAGAGCCGCCGTTGCCGCCCGGACGGGGTCAGCAGGCCGCCGCCACCACCCTGTGTAGGCTCGAGCACGACCATGACGAAGACAACCGCGGCTCGGCGACGATGGTTGTCTGGTCATTCGTGCTTTCCTTTTTCCTTTGTCTCACGTTTTCCCCTCCCAGAAATCCTCCGCCGTCTGCTCATGGTCTCATGGAGCCTATGGCCAGCCGCCGCCTTCCCCTCGAGCTCGCGAAGCCGGAGCCGCTGCCTTCCTCTCAAGCTCGCTGAGCCAGCCGTTGCTGCCGCGGTGCGGAGCCAGTGGTTACTGTCGTCGTCTTCCCAGCGAGCTAGCGGCGGCTGCTGCCCCCTTCTTGCGAGTTCGATGTCCACTGTCGCCGCCATTTCGTCTCTTTCTCCATCCCACGAGAACTTGGTTCTGCAAGATCTGTTCCGCATCGAGCGCCTACAAGCACGCGGCAACCAACAGGTGAAACTCGACATGGGTGGCAGCAGCCAAATCTCCTCCTGCTGATACTACTCCTCAAATTGATTTCTCAGTTCTCTTTACAGTCCTGCATCTCATGCTTTCTTCATATCAGGCTTATATGACTGGTGGAAATCTCTACTTGATTTTTCTGTGGTGCATGGTCAATCAAGTCTGAAGATATGAGGTTACAAATGCTTTACCTGCATTATGCTTCTCAAATTTCACTGTTAGAAGGCCATATTTCGTTGATTCAAAACTCATTTTTATGTGCAGGCCTGCATCTATTTTTGGAACCACAGATTTCGCTGTTAGAAGGCCATATTCCGTTGATTCAAAACTTTTTTTTTTATGTGCAGCCTGCATTTATTTTTGGAAGCATAAACGAAAGGATCACATATGTATGTCTGTTTGCTAATTAATACCTTTTCCTGCAAATACACATACACCACTTGGATGTAGATACCCATTCTGCCTTGCTTTACATGTTAATTAACTTGATTGGGTAAATGTTTACTGCATTGATCGACCGGTATCTCAAAGTACAATCAGTAAGTGACTGAAGCTAATTCATTAGCCTTTTATGTCTATATATGATCATAAAAATATCTGTAGAGTGCATCAGACAAGCAAAAAGTATATGGCAAGTGATAGCACATTTCTTAGGGAAGGGATTTATGAGTTCAATGTTAAAATCCTCTCTATCAGTCGCCTCGCATTTTTAACTTATCTAGGTTGCTTCCCTATTTTTTGCTACATAAGAACTAGATGTATGTCACCATATCAGAGTTATTTATATTCACATGTTATATTCTAAATCCATATGTTGTTGAGATGTGTTCTTTAATTGATCTCTTCATCTCTATGCAGAGTATCCTATCATAACATTAACAATGTTAGATCATACTTTTAGTGGGAGTTGCATGGAGTTATTATTATCAAAGCTGTTATTATTATCAAAGCTATTGAAGGTATTGTACATTGTTACATCTCCTTCACCCTTTATAGGTTTCTATATTACAGATGCTCCTGCTATTGTTTTAATTCTTTTTCGACCAGTACAACCTGATTAGCTATTCTTACTAATTCTTTTTATACAAAAAAATATTTAGACATGGATATTTACACCATCAAGTGTAAAATGTTACTTACACTGCTTGCATATGTAAGGGAAAAATACTGCCAGCTCCGTTCAAGTTCCCCAGAGCCATATAGACTATATTGCTATTTTGCTTGATCTTTAATCTTATGATAATGATTCTATGATTAAGGTTAATTATGTATATCGTCGTCATGTATCTTGCATTTCATTTGCTGAATAATACACAAATTGTTGTATAACAACATAACTACATAATTGAGCTTAATTTTTGTAAAGACCATCCAGTACAACTTCTGAGTTACATTGGTAACATAACAACCGGCGTTATTATACTGCTCTCATATGCTCTGATGAAATTTCTTCCATATATACATTGTACTTTGATAGCCTTTGTGTCTCTACTATTTGATCTCACCAATTCGTTTTTAAAGCTTTCTCCTGCTTGCATGAAGAGATTTTTTCTGTTGGTGTTGCTGAGTACGAAGAATTTGTTCATCCATGTGTTGCCAGTGCCTCTTCCAGTGTGATATGATGTGAATTGAGTATTCATGCTCTGTTAGCCTCTTTTAAGTAGCTAATGGAGGAAATGATTCTCACCATTTCAGTAGCTCCATTATGTCATTGATGATTGAGTTACACCCATTTAAAATATTTAGTTTCTACTTTAGTTACCTCATCAAGGTATATTGTTTCCACTGAGATTCACTTGAGATGGAATTTTAAACTAGCATTGATGTGTATCTTTCATGCCATCTCTACAAAACATGAAGGGCGCCAAAAGAATGTTATCAGTTGATTATGACTATATACACTGTTAGGATATGTCTTCAATCATTTTCTTTAAAAGAAGGATGGCTCCATTTTTGAGTCATGAAAACATTAGCAGTCTCGAGAATGACCTTCATTTATTCATGCTTCATCACATATCTCTATATTCTTTTTTTATTAGGTCGAAAAAGACATGGATGGATTGGATCCATCACGGAAAGCTGATTTCCTGTTCATATCTGAGACGAACGTAAATTTCTTTTGAAGGTACATTTCAATTTAGTTTGTGCATCAACTGTTCAATCGGAATGCTTTGCTAGACATATCCTAACCGTTACGATGCAAAGGTAAAGCAATATCATAGTCCATTTTTTTTTATATTTTGTCTTTCAGTTGGTTTGCTTTTACATGTCTGTGCTCAGATAGATTATTTCACTGTTTAGTTCACCAGTCTATTTTACACATGTTTTTTTCATTATTTGTGAAAGCACACTTTTAAATCCTAAAAGTTGTGCAGTCGATCTGTTTCGTCAAACTGTAGTGTAGCCTGCTGCCACTGTGCTTTTACAAGCTCTTTGTTTCCGCGTTGTATATTTTGCCGGCTACTTAAAAGGAACAGGGAAGAAAAAAATGGAACCTAACCTGAAGAAGTATATATGCATTGTAGAACTATAAGGCTTATGTTATTGCATCCATACTTTGGTTAAGTGATTATGCATGCTTTCGCTCATAAACTTTGCCACGTGGCCACATGGTAGCAGCACTTTGTACTACTCCACTCCAAAAAAGATAGAACTTTTGGTAGAAAAATTGGTTGCATGTGTTTAGAATTGTGATGCCAAGCGAAAATATTATCTCTCTATATAAGTGGTTGATACTATACTGTTTTAGCTGTACTAACATTACTATTAAAACTTTCTACTACCTTTGTCCCAAAATATAAAAACTTCTGGCCCTATATCTTGAAAGGTATGTTTAGGTACACAGCTCAAAATTGCGATATATTTTGGGACGGAGGTAGTATACTTTTTTTTAGGTGTACCGATGTCACTAACCGCACATAACGGAGGATTGTTGTTGACTAGGGCACTTGCATGTTGCACTTAAAAAACATCATTTTCTATCTGTTCATTTTAGCTTTGCATATGTTTAATATGGACCAACAGTAGGCATTTAGGTCTTCTGTTTTTAGCATCCAATAGTCCAATGTGATTCTAGCGTATAGAGAGAAAAGGGGTAGCATTGAAACCTATGTAAACTCATTGTAATTGACATGTAATTTGCCCCTTTTTTCTATTTATTCAAACTTCCAATACCTTTTGGTTTTCTCCTTTAGCCTATACACTATATTTTTGTATGTGCAATTTTTTTATAAGGGTAGTTTATGGGATATAGACGAAAAATAAACCAATGCTATGGGTGAATAGTATATGCATATTATTCCTCGAACATATTGGACTTCAATTGATTCAGGCGATTGATTCAGGCGGCGCAGCGTAGTGTGCTTCTATTGCTAGTGAGTTTTATCTTTAACCAAGAGGAAGACCCTAGAACTGTCCCCTCTATGTGTAACGGCTGCTAATTTTAAGCTGTTATAGATGAGTTTTATCCTTAAGGGTCTCCGGCCGTTACAGATGATTGGACACATGTGTAACCAATTGTTTGTAATGCCTGCTGAGCCGTTACAGATAGATAGGTCTGTGCTATATGTTTCTTAATTTTTGGATGTTGAAAAATAATTTTAAATGTCTTGACCGTCAAGTGCACATATTCTACATTTTGTAATATATAAGCCACATTTGTACAAACTACGGTTAATTGGATCATGCTATTACAACTTCTTCGAATTAAAAAATACCATTACTATTCGTCTGTGTAGGGTTATGCTATTACAATTTGACAAAAATTAGAGATATGCTACTACTTACCTGCTCAATGCATTTAACAGAAAAACTATTGATCAGATCCACGATTTGATTGTATTATTAATTATATTTGTTGCAAATAAATCTTCAAAATAAGATCACACGTGGCTATATTTAGAATGAAAAAAATATATTTCTAACTGAAACATTTTCAATTTATACATGAATCATCTATCTATAACTATTGAAAGCGAAATCTTTACTGGATCATTAAAAAGTATGGCACGCAACTCTTACAAAGGAACTAATGAAACATAAAAATAATTACTCATTGAAATATCTAACTAATACTATATATGTGCAACATTTTTAAAGTCCATTGCACTATGGGAAAGGTAAATCAAATCGGGAAGAAAGAGGAGGCGTCCAAAGTAGCGTCTGATTGGACGCTCGATGGAAAGCATTTCCGATTTCTTTTGGGCTGGTTTATTGTGGGCCAACTACTGTTGATAACTGGTTACTGTTTAGGGGGCCTCGTACTGTTTATGTGGTTGGCTGGTTACTGACGATGACCGTCTATTCACATGAGCAGGTCTTGTTCAATTTAGCTGGTGCCAAAGTCAGTTAAATTGTGTGCGGTGAGGACAACAGCGGGTTAAATACGTTGATGGATTCAACGGGTTTGTTTGATAATATCGAAAATATTCAGAATCTGTGGGATTTGCATAAGAGAGATATATAAAATCTACGTTACTAAAAAGAAAGAGCAAACATTATGGTGATAATTTCTTCGAGTTATTCAAGGCAACAGTGAATTTTCTTGCAGTATCATGGGTTTACTCTACAGATGCGAGAAGCGGGAATATTGGATTTATTAGCTCAGTTCATAGGACAGAAGGAAGAAAGGTTTCTCTTAATTAATGTCTGATGAGTTTGATTTATCTATTTATTGATGACATATGTTATCTAGCTATGGATTAGATTAAGAAAAATTTAAGACGAAAGATGGAGGTGAAAATAGTCCGAAAGATGAAGGTGAAAATAGTCTTCAGGAAGTTTATAATGTGACACCTTGAAAGGATTAATTAAATTTCTATTGACAAGATGACTGTGGTGATAGGTGGGAAGTTGAGATACTATTAAAGGTGGAGTCAAGAGGAAAAGGTTGCATATATTGATAGGCGGAGTCTCTTGTTACGATGAGCCTATTGAACGCTTGTTGGGACGGCTTAACGTGAGCAGCAAAAGGACCAACTCAAGTCCGATTGTACACCGAAGATCGAGTGTACGGGATAAATTTAGGTTGGTGTGTCATATTCGTTAAGGTGGGGTTTGTTACAGTTTTTGTTAAATATGTGTATGTTATCGATTACAATTTAGGACTTGTGTTCAACTAGCTATAGAGCAATGGAGCAAGAGTTGGACTTTATCCTAGGCTCTTTCCTAAATAGAGATGCACACCTATTGTACCCGCATAGCGACCTAGCATAGGCGAGAAGGAGCGGCTACCTGTCGAAACATAAATTCGGCAATAATAAAAGGGGGTAGCACATGAGACCTAAAAGTAGATAGATGCAGAGACAAATGATTTAGACAGGTTCAGGCCCTCTCAATGAGAGGTAATACCCTACTCCTGTTTGGGGATTTGAATCCGCCGGGTATAGTATAGATCTGACGATCAGGTTGTCTCATGCCCCCTAGAGGGCCTCCTGCCCACCTTATATAGGATGGGGGGCAGGATTATAAGATAGAAACCTTAACCAATACGGTATCGGTTTCCTAAATCTACTTTACAATATTATCAAACTAGGACTTTAGGCCGTTTCGTAATATAAAGGAAACGTAATACCCAAGTCATGATCTGTTACATATTCCATAGATATAAGTTATCTCCTATAACTAGTCGGATAACCACGCCGTGTGGGTATGGGGTACCCATAATCTCCACACTACCCGCGGTGTCTGGACAAAGGTCGTTGTAACTCTGATAGGCTGTAATATGCTGGATCGGGGACGAACATCTGTTTATGCCATAATTTGGCTAGTAATTAGTTCATTTAGGCATGCCAGATTGTGTAGTTTAGCTTCACGATTCATTGAATGGCTTGCTTGAGAGTTGGTCAAATGTGTGTGCAGTTTGTTGGGTGGCTGTAGAATTTTACCTATTTTGGAGATATGCATATATGTATACAGACCATGCAGGTGCAGCCGGATGATTAGGAGTTTTGGATAGCCACAGAGGTGAATCGGGTGGACTGGTACGTGGTGAAGATTATAGAAGATCATCATTAGCCTGATTACATGCCTACGGTATCGACTCGGATAGGAAGGAAGGATGGATCCACCGAACATGAAGGGAGACCTATGGTGCCGGGTGTGGTGCCAGTATAAATTTACAGCTCCGACGTTGGCGAGAGGTCCGAACAATTTCAATCTACTATTTATCAATCTACCGTTTCCTATTCTTTACTTTCTGATCTTTTCTATTTTGTTAATCTTTACCGTTTTGCGCTGAAAAACGGTCGTGCTTCTCCACGAAAGCGAGAAGGTTATCCTTTACTAGTTTGCTCGGAAACTAGTCGTTCGTCGTCACGTAAGTACGATATTTATCTTCCTTGCTAATTTGCTTATAAATTAGTCACTTGATTCCGTGAAAGTGAATTAATCTTGAAATCGGCTCTGCTAGCCGGTTTTGATCTATCGATTTTGGCGACTCTATTGATTGCACCTCAAATCATTAGGTGATCTTGTGTTGACTAAAAAAGCGTCAATATATTTTGGCGACTCCGCTGGGGACAAGTTTTGGCCGTAAACTTTTTGGCCGAAATCAGCCGATCTACCGCGGCATAGTTTCTCTATTTAATTTTTTTAATCTTCTCTGTAGATCGATTTTGGCCGTCGCCGGCGGTCTGTTCTGCCGAATTGTTTAATTCGGTGGGGAGGTAGCATGCAGGGCTAACAAATATTAAACAGTGCTTGATCAGGAAATTCAGGAGAGCTTTCACGGCTACACAGCAACCAAACCCAGGCATATAGGAGTAACACTTGATCTGTAAGTGCAAATTAATCTCTTTTGGATTTTGCTAGGTGTACGTATCAATTGCACCAGGAAAAGGCCAAGGCTTGCTGAAAATACATGGATGGGTACTGGAGTGCTACACCGCTACCTCACTACGTCAACTGCGAGGTAAATACTTTGTCTATTCCTTCAAATAATTTTGCAAGTCCTATAAATTCTCATATAAATGTTGCTAGATCTACTTTTAATGAATATATACTGCATCGGCTAATGATAGTTAAAATAATTATTTGAGCTCTTTAAATTATGAACACAGCATGTCACAGTCTATGCAAAGTAATTCATATACTATAAATTTTAATAATGCTAGCAATGTACGTGCACCTTTTGATTCACCGGTGATTATTTTGCAACCTATTACTACACAACAAATTTTGCCGATGAAAGAAATGTATGGACATGGTAATATTAGTTATCCAGTTGATTCTATTAATCCATTACATGCCATACCAAATATTTCTCAATCGGAGATTTCTTCTCGTGCTCATGGTTCATCTTGTATAATGTCCAACGCTTATAATTCGGCCTCATGTGCTATTTATGATTATGGCCGAATTAATGAAAATTCAACGAGTATACATACGCCTCTGTCTGATTTTGTGGCATATAGTGCATCACGTGAATCTCTCCAGACTTTCGGCAATTCTCATAGTTCATTGCCGAAAGAACGTGTTGATGTCCCCCCATTGCATATGTCGTATGAAGAGCCCTCTATATCATATTCTTATGATACATCACACTTCAATGCTTTTAGTCCACAGCAAATTGATTGTGCATATACTGGGATCATGGCCGAGCAGAATTCAGATACTAAGAGCATTGGGGGGCAATTTGTAGAGGAATTCAATGTAAAGATAGATAGTCTTACAGAAAAAATCTGTAGAGATGTGGAGGAAAAATTCAATTCTTATATTTTAAGTAAAGGGTCAAAACCAATTTTTTCACAAGAACAAAAGCCGATAAATCCAGAATTATCGGCTAATGAAGACAAGGTAATTTCCGAAATAATTTGTGCATAAAATCCTCGTCCAGGAATCAGCCGAGGTACACAAACTGACAATTTAATATACAAATCCATCATAATAATAACGTTACATACTTACAAAAGAAAAGAAAAACAGCAGTGGAATAACGGTCTAGCGAAGCTCCGGCTCCACTCCCACAGGCAGCTCAACAGGGGTATAAGCCAAACGTCTTCTCCTTCTGGATCATTTTTCTTCCACTAAGGTTTGATTGATTATTGCAAGGTGAGTACATGGAATACTCCGCAAGCCACACAGCAAATATGCAAGTGCACAAGGATACCAAAGAATGGCATAATATAGAGCTCATTTGCAAAAGTAGCATTTAGCAAACATTCGAGAATTGTAAATTAATTACCATCAATTACCACATTATTGTTAATGAGTAGTGTGGGACTAATCATGAAAGACATTGTTCGACCCACCCATAACCGCGGGCACGGCTATTCGAATAGTTTTACTCTGGCCAGAGATGTACCACTGTACCCACAAGACACAGCCCTAGAACATGTCACCATGCGCCTCAATACCATCACGGTACCTCGGAAAGGAGCTGTGACAGTACCCCTCGCACAACACAACTCAAAGCAGTGCACCATTCCTGGATCATAATCACCCCCTTACAAATAAGGCATGGACTCCCCAGCGACCCCCGTGGGCTTATCTCCGCCACTTCTCAGTCTGGTGTCCCGCAATGAACCATGCTATACAAAAGGTAAAGCTGTTGCCCATGATGGCTTGTGGTTGGCACGATTAATGTTTCACAACCGAAACTCGTGAACCGGTCCTTAATTGTCATGAGCACGACCATCAAAACCATGTGCTCACAACCCACCATTATCAAGTTTTAGTAGGCACATTAATTAATTAACCAATCACGATTAGCCATCATGAGCTACCATTATCATGTCCATCATTAAGTAGTAGTGAAACATTAGTTATCCCAATCGTGTGCTAATGTTTCTAAGCATGGCTAAGCAATATATCTAATATCTAGCTGAACCAATATATAAGTCCAACTAGTCAAATTATCACCCAATGTATCAAAGAATAGAGTAAGCAATGCAAAGTGGTCATAACAAAAGAATAGGTTCACACCACCCGGTGACATTCCAAAATAAATGCACAGTTGAAATAAATAGAGAATTTAAATATAGGATCAACATGCTCAAAGGAATTGTGTTTGGGATCTGTGTGACTTGCCTTGCAATAATGGGCTCCAATTAATCTTCTTGAATACTTACGGCGCACTCGCAAACCTTCGAAACGATGGAAACGACAAGCTAAAACGCAAAACGAGGAAAAAGACTAATAAAAACCAAATAAACAATACATATAAATTAAACAAACATGTAGATCATAATTTTAGATGAATTATGAGACTTGAACGGCCTCATTCGATTTCATATGAATTAATTATGAATTTTACAAGATTAATTAGAATTAAAGCCTATTAAAGAAAAGATTATTCCAAATTAATTAAATCATTTACAAATGATTTATAACTGAGACAAAAGATTAAAACAACCTCCGGAAAAGATTAGATCATATTTGGTAGATGACATATATTAAAAAGAAATAATGTCACTGAAAAGAGAGAACGGATTTATATCAATTTTGGACGGCTGAGATTAATCTTGACCGAGTCGACCAAGATTGGATGGCTTGGATTGATCTAGCAAGCGGGCCTCACGAGATATCGACGCAACGAGTCAATTCTACGTGACACGGGATCACCCAAATGATCAACCGAAACCGGTGAACGGAACCGGCGGCTCTGAACAGCTCTAAACTAAAGGACGACTCCACACAGATGAACGAACGAAGCACGGGGAACACCTCGTTCGAACGAATGAGTGAACGACTCAACAACGGCTGCGGCTAAACCGGTGGGGTAGAAATGATTCACAGGAAAGTCCCGGTACGGCAAACGATAGGCCGGTAGGAATTAAGGGATGCACCTACGGCTAGACAACTTGGCTACCGAGCAACGGCTAAAGCGGCGGGTAGGTTAAAGCGGCACACAGCTGCGACACGGTGGCACTAGGGCAACTTGGAGACACAGACAGATGTCTCACCGATCAAAAACGTTCGGAGAGGGAGGGATGATGACAATGTTCAGCAACACACGGAGACGACAACGCTAGACGAACCACGGATTAGATTAGATTGGATTAAGGAAAACCTGACAGGTGAACAGCATAGGAGCGGTGGTTGCCGGCGAACCACGGCACAATAATGCAAACGGAGGGCACCGGGAGGAAGAGGAGGCAACGACGATGCTCACCAGCACTTACGCAGCGATGAACGGCGACGGAAGATGGCCGG